TGGCCATGAAATCTGCTGGTGAAAGCTCACTGTTTCCAAGTAGTTGTATCCTACTTGGAATCAAGTTTCTGAGCTTCAAGTTTTGGGACTTTAAATTCTTTATGTCAGACTGCAGGTTTCCTTTAATCCCAAGGAAAGAGGTATGGATAAAACAGCTCAGGTGCTGGAGCAACATTTAATGTACTGCTATTATTAAAGACGTAAAACTTTAATAGGATATTTTTTTTTGCAGTTTTCCAAAGGGTTGGCATACAGCAATGCAGGTCTGTGGGGCAGTAAAGAAAGCAAGGAGAGGGGCACAGGGGCAGTGCTCATGCTCAGAGTCTGTGCCCTGACCCTGCTGCTTGCCATACAGCAGAGTTTGCCCATGTGTGCTGGGAGCAGTGGCTCAGGGCTGGCTGGTGCCACAACATTTGGCCTCTCAGTAAGTGCTGCTGTCCCACCCTTTGGTGACTGTCAGAGCCTCCAGGAGCAGTCAGATCTCCCCTCCCAGTTGCATGCGAGCCCTGGATGCTGCCTGCCCCCACACAACGTCATCCCTTGATGCAGCACTGAAGTAATGTGGAATAAACCAAACAACAATAGCTTCTTCCCCGAGGAGCCTTCTGGACAGTGAAGTGAATCTCAGCTGAGCCAGGAGAGGTGTGAGCAGTGACCCTGCAGGATGGGGCCACTCAGAGCGGCCGGTGGAGCACATGACAGTATGACCAGCAGTAAATTTGCTTGCAAGCCATCGAAGTTAGGCACACTCAAAATAATGCTGTATGATAGGCACCAGAGCCAGCAGTCCTTGTCATGCTGCGGAGTGGCTGTGTGGGCCCAGGAGGGACATCTGGTATTGTGCCAATTCCACATAGGTGAGATCTAATGTCTGCAAATAGGGGAATTTACAAGTGTTAATGGGCCATCAGTTTTCTCAATGATCTCCTGCTTAGATATGGGTTTATCATGAATTTACCAGGCTTTACCTTGCTTAGCTTCTGAAATCTTACCCAACAGCTACTCTGCAAGATGATGCAGCCACAAGTTCCTGTAGTCCTCCTCCCCACCAGCTGTGTTGGTGGACAAGCAGCTCTTTGTGCCCAGCAGCCCAGCTTGGACTGCAGGCTCTGGCCAGAGGAGAATATTCCATTGTAACCCTGCATTGTGTCCTGCATGGCTCGTTAGAGAGGTGAAATTGCATGATAGTAGCACGCTGTGGTGAGTCACTGCACTGCCTGTGATTTACAGCAGCTCCCTGCACTGCGCTTTTGCTCATCCCCACAGCCCGTAATTGCAAACATGTGAGTAGACAGAAAGGACATTTTTCCAATTCCGTGTTATTTAGCATCAGGAGATCTCTGACGACTAAAACAGATGAAAATCTCTTTCTGTGGATATATTATCACCTTTGAACTAAGGATTCTTATCTTGCTGTCTTCTTGATGAAGTATTTTCTACAAATTCTTTCTCTTACTGTTGTCTTTATTTTCGTGCTATCCAAGGATATTCAATTTTTGCCCTATTCCAGCATCTCTTGCCAAGATTAATACTCCAGCTGCCTGGAAACTCTGAATTCCATTGTTTTGAATTCATTCTTGTCGTCTTTGAAGCTCTATACATCTTCTCTGCTATCTTTGAGTCTGATCTTTCAGGATCTCTTTTGACATATTTTGGCCAGACTCTTCTCATGCTTACGTCTCCTTCTTTCCATCTGCTCGCTACTTTTCTGTCAGCTCTGGCTCATATAAAGCCTGGACCTCTCCTTCCAAATCCCTCTTAATTCCTTCTTTTGTAGGTTGCCCCATTTCTTGCATAGGTCGTCCATTTACTAATTGCAAATGAAAAGGTCATCTTCTGTGTGTTGCTTCACACAAGTGTTATCTCCATCCCCACACTGAGTTCAGTGTCTCATTGTCCATTTGGAAGGAAAAACTTTTCATCATTACACTGATTATAGGTTAAGGCAATTTAAACCCATTTCTAGTTGTCCAATCATGGAAATCTCCTGGACTCCATCAGCAGAGGGGTGGGCAGCAGGGACAGGAGGTGATTGTCCCCATCTACTCTTTCTTATGAGGCCCCATCTGCAGTGCTGTGTGCAGGTCTGGAGCCCCCAGTACAGGAAAGGCAGGGAGCTGTTGGAGAGGGTCCAGAGGAGCCACAGAGATGAGCAGGGGGCTGCAGCACCTCCACTACAAAGACAGGCTGAGGGAGCTGGGCTTGTTCAGCATGGAGAAAAGAAGGCTGCGGGGTGAGCTCAGTGCAGCCTGCAGTGCCTAAAGGGAGCCTGCAGACAGGAGGGGAGTCAGCTCTTGGCAAGGGGAGATGGCAGCAGGACAAGGGGAAATGGTTTGGAGTTGAGGGAGGGCAGATTTAGGATCCACAGAGAAGCTGTGATGCCCCGTCCATCCCTGGAGGTGTTGAAGGCCAGGTTGGATGGGGCCCTGGGCAGCCTGGGCTGCTGTGAAATGTGGAGGTTGGTGGCCCTGCATGGCACAGGGGGGTTGGAGCTTCGTGATCCTTGAGGTCCCTTCCAACCCCGGGTGATTCTGTGAAAAGCAGAACAAATTATTGCTATTTTTTTCCCAGGTATCTCTTATGTAAGTGAAGGTTAGTATCTGCTGCAGTCTTTTTTCTAGTCCAAATCACCATATTTCCTTTGTTTTCCCCCCCTAGTTACAGTTTTTAGTATTATCATTAGATGGTAGTCAGTGGCCCACAGTAGATGATCCAGTCAATATGATAATGAAGGGCAATTCAGGATGCTGCCTACTGGCTTTTTTTGGTGCACTTATTGACCCCGATTTTCATGTGACAGCTTTTAGCTGTTCTGAAACGCTGATTCTTGCTTATCAAAGACCCTTTGATTTGAGGATTCTCAATTCATTCTCTGAACTTTTGGACAAATTGCAGCGTTAGAGGAAGCACTGTGGTATGGGGTGGGAGTTCTTTGCATTCACACTTTGCTTAGATTGAACTTCCTAGGTAAAGTTTTTAGTTTCAAAATGAGACATCTGTGAATACCTACCGATTTCCCTTTGGGGGTTTGTCACAGAAATAAGAGGGATTCATCCACCTGGTTCAAACTCAGCATTTCTTTGTTCATAGCAAGCATTGATATGCAGGGTGCTCAACTCCAAGCCAAGCTATAGCTGAAAGGTGACCCATAGAGCAAGCAGCACAGTGTGAAGTCTGTGCTAATATCAGTTCCTAGTTTGTGTTGCCTTTCCTTTTTCTCATTACGCAAAGAAAAGTACTGTTTGTGCTTCAAATGTCAAGAATCTTTTTTTAAACTCCTCTCCTATTGTTTTCTTTCCCTACTGAAGTCTTTCTCCACGTAATTAATAAATATTCAAGGAGCCCTTGAGGATTTGCTGGGCATGTATGTAGTTCTGTGTGTCATAGTTATTTCACTACGTGACTGAGCAGCTTCATGTGTACGAGAGCTGAGATTTCCACTGTGATGAGCAGAGCTGTGGGGCAGCGTGTCAGTCCTGCAGGCTGTGCAAATCCAGCCAGAGAGCTCAGGTAGCTGATACAGCTGTCCTGGTCACCAAACAGAGCCACAGGAGTGGGCCACGAGGGTTCTGTGCTTCTCCTTGTGAGTCAGTGGTGGCTGAGTGGGCGTGCAGGCCATATGTGCTGCAAAGCATTTGGAGATGGGATGTTTTTAATGATGAGCCTATGGTGAGCTGGCAGAAGTGATCGTCCAACCACTCTCTTGTCATCTTTGAAAGGCTGTGGAGAACAGGAGAGGTACCTGAGGGCTGCTGGTAAGTCAGTGCCACTGCAGTCTTCAGAAAGGGCAAAAGGAGGACCCAGAAAATAGAGGCCACAGGAAGGTGGTGGCACAACTTGTTCCGGATGCCCTCTCCAAGGAATTGGAAGAGAAGGTTATCAGGAGTGGTCAGCGTGCATTCACCAAGGGGAAGTCGTGCTTGACAACATGGTAGCTTTCTGTGCTGTCATGACTGGCTGGGTAGATGGAGAGAGCAGTGGATGTTGTCAGTCTTGACTTCAGCAAGGCTTTTTGACACTGTCTCCCATAACGTCTTTGTAGGTAGGCTTGGAAGTGTGGGATGGACAGGTGGGCAGTGATGTGAGTTGTGAACTGGCTGTCTGGCAGAGCTCAGAGGGCTGTGATCAGTGACACAGCCTGGTGAGAGGCTATAACAGCAGGGCTTGGTGCTGCTGGGTCTGGTCTCATTCCACATCTTCACCAGTGACCTGGAGGAAGGGATAGAGCGCACCATTAGAGTCTGCTGGTGATGTGAAGCTAGGAGGGGTGGCTGACACACCAGAAGGCTGTGCTGCCATTCTGTGAGGCCTGGACAGGCTGTGTTGGGTGGAGAGGAACCTGAAGAGGTTCAACAGGGGCAGCTTTAGAGTCCTACAGCTGTGGAAGAATAACTGCATGGATCAGAACAGGCTGGGCTGAGCTGCTGGGTGCTCTGCAGGACCTGGGGTCCAATTGACCAGCAGGGTGACCCCGAGCCAGCAGCGTGCCCTGGTGGCCAAGGAGGATGGTGGTGTCCTGGGGTGCTTCCAGACCTGATTTTCTGGGATCTCTCCCAGCTTCAGGAGGTGGCTCTGGCCTTACCTTGCTGTAGTCTTCATGCCTGTGGCCAGGAGCCTTGTGTGAGCCAAGGTGTGCAGGTGAAGCACAGTTGCTCTGCCAGCTGCCATCATGCTCCCATCCTACAGGACCTTCTCCTTACCTGCCAGAGCACTCTGCTTGTGGAGCTGCCTTGGTCCATGGAGCACAGGTTCCCAGGACAGCCTTTCTTCATCGGCCTTTGAGAAATACTCACGCCAAAGCAGATCATAGATCAAAGAATGGAAAACGAAGGGCTGATGTTGAAAACTTACTGAAGAAGCTGATGTGTCAGAAAACCCTTGTGAAGGCTTAGCAGTTATCCAAGCTCACGGCTGGTGTTTGTGAGTTACACGCATGCTTTCAGGTCTCTTTCAAAGTTCATTTTTGTGTGCTCTAATGGTGCCTGTTTCCTGTTTTTCAGGGGATGACTTTTCGTTGATCCAGCAGGAAATATATATGGTAAAAGAATGCAAACATTGCAACATAGTCGCCTATTTTGGGAGCTATCTCAGGTAAATAGCACTGCATTACCTGCATTTCTGCTGGGCTTTTCCTACAACAGTCTCCCTGTGGTTTATTACTTGTATCCTCTCTGTGTTCTTCTCTAGCTTGAATTCCATTCAGTTCTCTTCTGGGTTTAGAAAAAAACACACACAAAAGTGACTAATACTTTGTTTTCTCTGCTGGCCAAAAGGCTGGAATATTTTTATCACTAGGAACAGAAAGAAACTTCTCCCTTAGAGACTCTTGCAACATATCCAATCCTACTCACTTTGCTGGGCAGATTTTACGAGTCTATCACTCATAATATAAAACAAGCTCACTGTTTATCATGAGCAATTGCTTTGGGGTATGGTATTTAATGGCAGCACTGTGTGCTGGGAAAGTATAGGCTGTAAGGGAGCCCTCACTTTGGGTTGCTGGTAAGCATTTCTGCTGGTTGTGGTGCTGCAGATGCGACGTGCTGAGAGCAAGGCATTGCCAGCTGGCTGCGTCCGCAGGCGCACGCGTTAAATGTGATACAGCAAGTTGGGGGAGATTTTCCACTTGTGTGGAACAGTGCCATTTATCAGCTGGCTCCGTGGGAATATATATCAGCACTTTGCCCGTTTGGTCTGCGAGGCTTCACCTATGGATTTCTTGGAGGGCTGCGTTCATTTTCATCTGTACAGCCCTAGTGGACTTCAGTGGAACAAAATAGCTGGATTTTGAAATCCCCAGCAGCTCTTCTGGAGGCCGTGTAGGATTTTTTAGGTGTGATTAGGTACTGTCAATCTCAGATTGAAAGTGTGAATTTGGGGAGCTTGTCTAATGTGCTCCTGCTGATAGAAGGTAAACTTCAGCTGTTTGTTCTACATCTTCTTCCTTGCAGTTAGGAGGTCATCGTTAAAGCAGCACCTGATAAGTTAGAAGTTAAAAGCTTGTCATTGATCTTTCATTCTGATGGATTGACAGGCTGAGGAAGCTGGGCTGAACAAGAGAGAAGGATGTTGGGGTGAGCTCAGTGCAGCCTGCAGTGCCTAAAGGGAGCCTGCAGACAGGAGGGGAGTCAGCTCTTGGAAAGGGGAGATGGCAGCAGGACAAGGGGAAATGGTTTGGAGTTGAGGGAGGGCAGCTGGAGGTTGGATGTCAGGGGAAGTTGTGTGCTGTGAGAGTGATCAGCCGGGTTCTGATGTCTGTGTTTTGCCTTTCCCTGGATAGCCGTGAAAAGCTGTGGATATGCATGGAGTACTGCGGCGGGGGATCCCTCCAAGATATCTACCATGGTACTTTGGGAACTCATATTAACCTCTGTACCTTAGGAATGATTTATGCAAAGAGGAAAATTTGAAAGCTGGGGGATGGTTGGTGCTGGCTGGCATTGCATGTGTGTGTTCTTGAAGAAATGAACACTTCTCTAGCTACAGTCAGCAGATTTTGTACAGAGCACTCCTCAGCATGGCAGCAGTGGCTCTGTGCTGACATCCTGCCATTCTGGGCCAGCATCACAGACTCCTAGAATGGCCTGGGTTGCACAGGAGCACAGTGCTCATCCAGCTCCAAGCCCTGCTGTGTGCAGGTCGCCAACCAGCAGCCCAGGCTGCCCAGAGCCACATCCAGCCTGGCCTTGAATGCCTCCTGCCATGCACTTTGTTTTTCAATCTCACTGCTCCTTTCTCTCCTGATACTTAGGTACAGGAGCTTGGTTTGTCCCCCTGCAGGGCTCTTCAGTACCTGCAGTGGCTGTACAGTGTGAGCTCCTCTGTGCCTTCAGTTGCCTCCTGCCAGCCCTGCACCATTCATTGTTGGTGTGCAGTGGTATTTGATCTCCTTTTTCTGAAGGCACTGGGAAAAAAAAAAAGACCTTTAAGAAGTTTGCAACCAGAAATGGCAGTAATTACATATGGACTCTCATTGTGGATATTGTCTTCTGTTAATGTGCTGTTGTTTTTCTTGCAAAAAGCCTTTCTGTAAAGCAAACAAACAAAACCCTCTTTTCAGCTCAGTGTAAAATACAGTCCATGTTAAAAAAGGCAGTACTGCTATTTGGTTCTTCACAGTGTTATTTACATGCTGTAAATAAAGGCTGTAGACTTACACACTTTTTATCTTTGTTTTCAGTCACAGGACCTCTGTCAGAGTTACAAATTGCATATGTTTGCAGAGAGACTTTGCAGGTACTGTTCTGCAGATGTATTGTAGTCATATGTGATAGAGGCTGTGCACGGCTGTAGGGGCAGAAGATGAGCGATTTCAGAAGACAGAGCTGTACCACCACTTCCATTTGTGAGCACTGGGAGGCTTCTTGAGGCCAATCAGACAGTTTTCAATACTGCATAAATAGAAATCAGCAAGAAGCACAGCAAGGTTGTGCAAATATTTGCTTAGAATCGTTGTCAGAACAGCGCTGCTTTCGTGCTGCAATTTGCAGCTGTAATTTGCAGTGGTGCACGTGTGGATGTCTCTGTGGATCCCACTGCAGGACCGAAATACTAAAAGTCAGTCTGTCTCCTTGGTGATGCTGGTGGTGGCAGTGATAATGTGGAAGACAGGTCTTTGCAGGTTGGGATCACAGTGCTGTCTGGGCAGTTTTCATGCCTTGTTCTGACACAGTGCAGAAGTTGTTCAGGACAAAGTTCTGAATGTCGTTGCAGAAAGCAGCCAATGCCCAGTAAGCAAGGGTAAGTAACTGGGTAATAATAATAATTAAAGTTTAAAAAAGGTGTGTTTTGAACCGCCTGCTTGATCGTGGCATTAAATTCTAATCATTTGTAGAGAAAAAAAACCAGGTGGCTGCAATTGTTTTGTTTTCTGATTGCCCATAATGGTAGAAATACAAGATAAGGTGATGCAGGCAGTGTTTCTGCAGGGAACATTTCCATCCCCGCTGTCTGCATCCGTGGATGATTGCAGAAGAGAATCATGAAGCCCCATCTTTCCCAGGAGCTGTGGCTGAACTGCTCTCTGCTGGAGGTGGGGTGCAGGCCCGTCCAGTCACCTGCTTGGCACTTGTGTTCCTCATCTCCTGCTGCTGCAGGAACTGGTATTGCAGGGCAGACAGCTCGATGGCTGCAAGAGCACCTGAACTGAGTCTTGTTCTGAAAATGTCCATTTACCAGCATAAAATGCTCAACAGTGACTAAATGAGTCTTCACGTGCGTTGGCTGCAGCTGGGAGAGATGAGGAACAGAACCCAGCACACTTCCTACCTGCAAATCTCAATTATTTGATTTTGCAATGAAATACATTCAGTGATTAAAACTGATCGAATGGGACTGGCTTTGCAGTCTGTTACCAGGTGTGCTAATGAAGGGTTATGTCTCTTTTTGTTTCCAGGGTCTCGCTTATTTGCATATGAAGGGGAAAATGCACAGAGATATAAAGGTAACTGGGAACTTTGAGAACCCTTAAACTTTCTACTGTGGGAAAATATTCCTGCCAATGCATTTTAATATTCTACTTATTATGTTTTAGGGTGCAAATATTCTACTAACAGACCATGGCGATGTCAAGTTAGGTAAGTGGCCAGGATTTAATATGGAGACAGAAAGCAAATAGGAGATTTTGGACGCAGTCAATCATGAGTTGAGCAAATGGTCTTTTAGCTTTTCTTTAAGGCAGGAATTTTCCTTGGGGAGAATACTCAGATTTTGTATGGGCTTGTTTTTGTTGAGCAGCACGTGTGCAGCAGTGATTGAGCTTCCTATAAACGATCAAGCCCATCACAGCAGAACTCCTGTGTTGGTGCAACCAGTTTTACTGGGTAATGTTCTCTGTGGCATAAACCTCTGGTGTGTAAGGACATCCCGGTGCTGGAGGTCAGTAGAGGACAGCAGGAGGAGTGTCTCCATGGGCACACGCACGTGGATGAGATGAGAAGTTGCATTCTGTTACGAAGCTACAGTAATTGCTTTTCTCAGCCAACCAGCCCTGAAGCCTCCCAGCTTTCCCTGGAACCGAGGTTACCTGGATATTGCTGGCTCTGTTCCTAGCCAGAAGGGCAGTTCTGCACCTGGCAGCCTGTCGCAGTGCAGGGTCTGTTCCTGGCTGTGCCTCCAGCCCAGCGTATGGCGTTGGGTGTTTCCATGCAGGTGGAGGTGAGGAAACTCTCCTTGGTCTCCTTGGCCTGGGTTCCACAGGCAGGCACTTAAAGAGAGTAGAGTTGCTGGCTTCCTCTAATGGCACTTTGCATGTAGAGGGGCACGGGCAGGACGAATCTTCTGTCAGAACTCCTGTCTGCCTGTCTGCTGCTTCTTCATAGGAGCCTGTGTGCTGTGAGGGCTCTTCAGGAAGGAAGGAGCAGACAAGGAGACATCTTAGGAGACAGAATGAGACAGTCATGATCTTGGGTTGAAATAGGAGTGGTTGTGAGGCTTTGCTGCCCCTCAGAAAGTAAAAACTTTGAAACTGATAGGAGCTTCCACTGTTTCCATTAAACTTGGCTTGCACGCTGTGCCTTGCATGTGCCTGCCAACCTATTAGATCTGTCCACAACTGTCCTCCAGCTATCATAGTACAGATGCAATCAAAATAAAGCTGGACATGAATGTCTTTTGGCTCTGTAAGACCATCTGATGTGTCTGCAGCTCTCAGTAAGGGGTAATTGTCCCCTAGACTGACTCCAGAAGCAAGAACAGATGGCCCCCCATGGCTCCTCTGGAAGTAACAGAAATAGTACTGTTTCCAAAGCATGACGCTGGTTTTCCTCTCAACTATTACATTGAATACCTCTGAATTTTGTAAGATTGCTGCTTGGGGAGATGGAAAACCAGTGAGGAGGGGAGCAGGATTGTGAGTGAGCTGTAGAAACTAATGGTTTTAATTCAGAAGTGTTTCTTCACTGACATTAGTTGATCTTATTATTAATCAACTGTCGAAGCTGAATGAATTTTTAATTTGCATTAGGAAAGAGTGCTTTTTCATAACATGGCACTTCCTAGAATGGAATTAGAGTGTTAAAATCAGATTTCTAAATGAATGATGATTTCATTTTCCAGCTGACTTTGGTGTAGCAGCAAAAATAACAGCCACCATTGCAAAGAGGAAATCATTTATTGGTACCCCGTACTGGTAAGAAACCATTTCCATTGCTGTGTGCTTGCAAAGCTAAGCCTATATTTACAAATCATGCCAAGAGCTTGGGTTCTCAGGCTCTGAATGCATAATGGAATCACAGAACCATAGAATGGCCTGGGTTGCACAGGAGCACAGTGCTCATCCAGCTCCAACCCCTGCTGTGTGCAGGTCGCCAACCAGCAGCCCAGGCTGCCCAGAGCCACATCCAGCCTGGCCTTGAATGCCTGCAGGGATGGGCATCCACAGCCTCCTTGGGCAACCCAGTGGCCATTTAGTCTCTCACTAACTTCTTGTTCTTCTCATGAATAAATCTGAAGGTGTCTTTCAGTTTTCTTCACATTTCCTTCTGCACAGCAGAAAAACAGTTTTGAAACAATCTTTTAATCATCTCTAGTACTTAATTTTCCATGTGAGACAGCATTCAATATGCAGTCATATCAGCATAAATCTTGAGCTGGATTACGGATGTAAATTAACTGCCTTTGAGTTCTGACTCTACCAGATGCCTTTCTTTCAGGGTGATGTGCTCAGTACTGACTCGATGTCTACATGCAGCTTAATTCAGACAATGGCACTTAATTGTTTGCTGCCCTCCTTATCCCGCAGCAGGAGGACGCAGGGCAGGAAGATTATCTGGTCATTAAAGCATTGCACCAGGAGTCATGAGGCTCTGGGTCTATTCCTAGCCCTGCTGGCCAGTTGGTGACCTCAGGTAGAACACGCAGCCTGTGTGTTTTCTCCCTGCCGGGTGAGGGGAGGCACAGCAGCCTTCTGGCGGGGCTCTCTGCCCTGCAGTCACCTGTCGTGCTGCGTGACTCCATGTTGAGGCAGTGATTCCTGTTTGGCTCTTTTCTCTGACCGAGTGATGGCTTCTCTTTGAAGGATGGCCCCAGAGGTTGCGGCGGTGGAGAAGAACGGCGGCTACAACCAGCTGTGTGACATCTGGGCAGTCGGCATCACAGCCATCGAGCTGGCGGAGCTTCAGCCCCCCATGTTCGACCTGCACCCCATGAGGTGAGCGTGCTCACCCTGCTCGTCCCCTTCAGCCCCAGCAGCGCTGCTGCCTGCAGCCCAGCCTTCTTCAGGGCTCCTTCAGCAAGCAGCTCCTTGCTGTGTGAGCTGTGCCTGTGCTCAAGACACCGGGCCGAGGCTGCAGGCTTACATTTAGAATTGAAATTCTAAATGGAGATTTTAAATCGTTTTTTTAATTGTCGTGTCTGCAGCGCTGCGATTAAGTGTAACAGATTGGTAGAGAAACCGTAACCTTATGCTTAACAGGATTATGGGTGGCATTAAAAAGATTTTATTTAAAGATAAGAAAATCATCAGCTTTACCATGTCTGTCCTCTCACGCAGTAGAGGCTGTAATCCAGTTTCATCATTATGGCTCTTATCACAAAGTATTAATATAAAGTGTTTAGATACCAGAATGAAAATGGATTTTTTTTCCACCATATAATAACTTTTTTTTTTTTCCTTTACCTTCAGGGCTTTGTTCTTAATGTCAAAAAGTAATTTTCAACCACCAAAGCTAAAGGAAAAAGCAAAATGGTAGGTGAAGCCCTTTTCTTTGCTCAGTATGTTGTAGACAATATGAACAAAAATAATACTTCACAGAATCACAGCAAGGCCTGGGTTGCACAGGAGCACAGTGCTCATCCAGCTCCAAGCCCTGCAGTGTGCAGGTCGCCAACCAGCAGCCCAGGCTGCCCAGAGCCACATCCAGCCTGGCCTTGAATGCCTGCAGGGATGGGGCATCCACAGCCTCCTTGGGCAACCTGTGCCAGTGCCTCACCACCCTCTGCCTCCAAAACTTCCTCCTCATATCCAACCTAAACCTCCCCTGTCTCACTTTAAAACCATTCCCCTTGTCCCATCACCATCCACCCTCACACACAGCCGTTCCCCCTCCTGTTTATCCGCTCCCTTCAAGCACTGAAGGCCACCATGAGGTCTCCCTGGAGCTTTCTCTTCTCCAAGCTGAACAAGCCCAGTTCCCTCAACTTTTCTTCATAGGTTGTCTTTATACTTGTCACTGTTGAAGGTGGAAGGCTGTGAACAATAGCATAGGTTGGTTTTAAACTCACTGGCTTGAGATGTGACTTCACCTGAAGGAACACTCAGTGAGAAGCAGCTCGCCGGTTGTTCCAAGCGTCTCTGAAGAGCAGATGGGGGAACTAAGCTCCAGCAGCAGGACATGATTCAAAATCAAATATTCTTGGCTAACGTTGTCCACAGAAGAAGAACCAGTGCAAAGACTGAACTCTGTCTGGAATTTTGAACTTTATTTTCCTGTCCATAGCCAAGATCAGTTACGTGGGTTTGCTGGGCACCTGAGTCACTGTTTTTATTTCCAATGCTTAGTTCTGTAACAGCTGACCCTGGAAAAAGCTGAAATAGTGCTTTGTGTGCTTAGTTTGTTTTCTCTGTGTTGTTGAAAGCTTTGCCATGCAAGGTCCAGTAATTGGATTTGTATTTCCCCTATGCTGTTAACTTGGTGACATAATTATTCAAAGCTGGGATGCACTGAGGTACTTAGGCAGCATTCTAACTTAGTGCATCTCTTTTGTTCAGTAGTTTAAATCAAAAATGTCTTCCTGAAAACTTAAATATAATAATTTTCTTTCCTCATTTTTCTTTCTTTAAGGTCATCAACATTCCATAATTTTGTCAAAATAGCACTTACAAAAAATCCAAAGAAGAGACCAACAGCAGACAGACTCCTTGCTGTAAGTGGCATTTGGCAGCAGCCATAAATGATCTCTTGCTTCCAAGTGAGCAACTCATCAATGGGAAATCAAACTGGAACAGTGTTCTTCCCCTGATCCTACAGCGTGTGGTGAAATCTGAATGAAAGAGACATCAGTCAGCAATAAGAAGCAGCAAGATTTTATTCAGGGACAAGGATTTATTTGACATTTGGTAGGGATAATTACAGCATGTCCTCTGTACAGGTGGCTGCATCAGCCCATAAGGCACAGCCATGTAGGTGCTGACCCTTCCTGCCACACAGAAAACTGATTTGTTTCATATTTTTCCTGTCTTGCTGCACTTGACCCAGCTGCTTATTATATAAGAAGTGAAGTTAACATGTAATTGTTTGAGATTACTTCCCAGTTTACAACTGGCCAGCAGTGTGTCATTTCCTTGCTTACTGAGGGATATCAAGTGTAGCCACTGTGGCTAAAGAAATAGTTGAGCCCCCAGAGAAGAGGCAGAATTCAGTGGCATTCTGAACTGAACGCTTGTTATTTCAAGTTGCAGATCAGCTGCATGCTGTAACTTGCTCTTTTTTGTGGTTCTAGCATAGCTTTGTAGGTCAGCCTGGTCTTTCACGATCTTTAGCAGTTGAGCTGTTGGACAAAGTTAATAATCCCGACAACCACACGCACTGCAGTGAAGTGGATGATGATGATTTTGAGGTAAGAGCATCTTTCATTTTCTGGCTTTGGGTACAAATGCAGTTTAAATATCTTGCTTTGCTCTCACCATGTATGACTGTAACTTGACAGGGGCACTGGCCCATTTTTAGAGCTCCTGTAAGTTGCTGTGCTGGAGGAACCAGGACTCTTAGCAGAGTTTGTCACACTTCTGCCTAGGAAGTGTGGTCCTGGCTCTTGGCTAGCACAGAGGCAGTGTGTGTTACAGCATGCAACTCTGCAGCACCTCTTCTTCCTCTTGGTAGCTTTTAGCATAGCTCTGTAGGTCAGCCTGGTTGTTGATTTGGTTGTTGATTGAGAGCTGACATAAAACCACGTAACTTTTTGTTTTTATTTCCTTGCAGCCTCATTCTGTTATTCGCCATACGATTCGTTCTACAAACAGGAATGTTAGGGCAGAAAGAACAGCATCAGAGATAAACTGTAAGTTCCTGATGTATTTCATGGTGGTGGTGCTTTGTTTCTACCAGTAGGAGGAGGTTGGGGTCATTGTTCAGCTGCGTAGCCTGGAAAGTCTGTTGCGTTGTTGGCACGTATGAGAAACAAAAGCAGAAGAAACAGTGCACAAACATGAATCTTCAGTAATATTTTCGTGGAATCACACAATGGTTGGGTTGGAAGGGACCTTAAAACCCACCCAGCCCCAACCCCTTCATGGGCAGGGATACCTCCCTCCTGCTCAGGTTGCCCAAGGTTCATCCATGGCCTTGGACACCTCTAGGGATGGGCACCCACAGCTCCTTGGGCAGCAGAACCAGCACCATTTTTCCAAAACTGAAATTAAAACTTACTTTAAAACTCATTGCTGCATAGTAATGTTTAGGTAGAAATCTCTTATGGCCAATGTAGTTCTTCCAGTTCTGTGATTGCACTTCAAGCATTACAAAATAACAAAATCACTAATTACAGGTAAGCACCAAAAATTAAGAGTGACTTGAGAGTTAGAAAGGTGTGTTTTCTCATGACTCCATTAGCTGTTATTCTGCACTGGCACAGGTTGCCCAAGGAGGCTGTGGATGCCCCATCCCTGCAGGCATTCAAGGCCAGGCTGGATGTGGCTCTGGGCAGCCTGGGCTGCTGGTTGGCGACCTGCACACAGCAGGGGTTGGAGCTGGATGAGCACTGTGCTCCTGTGCAACCCAGGCCATGCTGTGGTCCTGTGATACGATGCAGTAAAATGGTAGCACTTTGTCCATGGCAGGGTGTTGAACAAAGTGAGCTTTGTGGTTCTCATCCAACCGTAGGCATTCTGTGATTTTGTGTTTTTCTTCACACTGCCTCAAATTCATTAGTTAAACCTTTTCTTGACCCTGGCGTGTGATTTTAATAGCTGTCCTGAGCAGGGTGTGTGCCAATTCCATGCATTTTCTTTTCATGAAACCTTTTATTTCCTTTTATAACAATATTGATGCTCTATTCTGTTGGATGTAAGATGAAATTTTGAGCATAGAAACTCCTTCTGGGTTTGGACAAATGCCTGTGGTAGCATAAATGCTGGCTGCTCCGAGTCACATAGGTCTCCCTTTTAGGAAGCTTACTGTTAAAAGCCTTTTACTTTTTTTTTTCCACGTGCATTAAAAATAATGTGTGGTTACACAGTCACATATCAGTGTGCTTTCATATTACAACTTGGTATTACTTTTCATCTCTTCCTGTGTGTTTCACATTGGCAAATTTAAGCATTTGGGCACTAATAGGACCTGCAGTGATAGTCATTTTATAGCCCAGTTAAGTGTTGGGAATGTTCCTGCCCCGTTCTACAACACGTGTTTCACTGCAGTAAGCACTGAAAGGGCAGCAGCACAATGCTGAGTGTATTAAAGCAGACAACATCATGTTTTGTAGTTGATAAGCTCCAGTTTGAGCCCCCTCTGCGGAAAGAAACAGAAGCTCGGGATGAAATGGTAAGGGCAAATTTGGGTTTTCCTTCATTTCTTCAAGTCGTAGCACTTTCCTTGTGTTGCAGTTCAACTCCAAGCAGTATGTATGTGTCTGAGGCACAGAGTCATGGGAAGACTGCTCTTGGTCCCCAGACAATCACCACATTTTTAAGAAAATGAATTGCCCTCTGTGCTTTGTGCTCAGAGTCGTGCTCAGATGAGAAAAACTACAAGAGCCAATTAATCTGATAATGTGAAGAGGCTGTTCTGCATTTGAGTCTTTGATCTTTCTGTCATCAGTTTGTTTGCTACTTGCTCCTAGCAGTGCAGCATGCAGAATTTTTGCCCCACGAGCTGCTGCTGTTGATCCCAGCTCTCAGCAGCTTACTAAAGAGCAGCTAATGAGCCTCTCTGTGGGTCTCTGTGTGTATGAGGGCTCCATTTCTAAGCGATGTGAATAGAAGCAGCTGCCACTAACTGTGATTTGGAGCCATCAGCTCTCAGTGCTCCAGAAGAACCCCATTTCTGTGTTTTTAAACAAAGTTCATCCTTTTTGAATGGGACTTCTGAGATTTATGCACGTGGTTACTGCTGAGGTCCCCTTGCTCCGTGTGCAGTGACAGGAATGCTGTCAGTCTGGGGGTGGCTGAGCTGTGCTGGGTGCCTTGGAAGTGCTCTGAGTGGAAAATCCATCTCTCATCGTAAATTGTTGCTTTCATGTTATTTATTAATTGCTACTGGCACTGTGCCATTCCAGATGCTGCTTTTCAGTCTGAGCCAAAGCAGACATTATTTCTTCACTAATTGTAACAATACTGTAAAACATGACCTCACTTTGGAGTTTTATGTTGTTCTTATGGGTCGCTCGGGAATGTCCCAGGCCTTTTCATACTGTGGCTTCTGTTTGGTAGGGGAAAAAACAATAACCATCCCTGCATCCTCAGGTTGTGGCAGCTGGTACCGATTTTGCTTCGCATTGGAATCCTTTTGTTGAAGGTGGAAGCAGCAAGTGAGTACAGAGTTTAAAAACATCTTGGGTTTTGTGTGACTTAATGAGAAAATAGAGTCTAAAAAGAAGAAACTTTGAGCTGGAAAACCAAACCATCAGCTCAGGTCCTTTTAGAAATAAAAAAAGAAAGGAAATTTTACCTGGTTTGCTGTTGTCCTGCAGTTGGTTGGTCCTTGTCTTGAGGAGTGGATTTGAATCTCTTTTAATGATGAACAGTGGTTTACTTAAAACTTGTAGGTAGAAAGCAAAGCATCCAAGTATGCCAACCCTGCTGAAATAATGCTGCCAGAGGTAATTTTTGGAAGGAAAAGCAGTAACCTTGCAAGAGCTGAGTTCAGGATCCTGTGCTGCCTTACACTTCTCTCGTGAGCTGCTTATACAGCTGTGACATCCTGTGGCTGCAGTCAGGGCTTGGCAATAGCAAAGCAGAAAAGAGCTCTGCGCATGCAGTGCTGTGAGTGCTGGGGGTGTTGTCATCCTGCTCAGGGTTTGAGGCTGCAGGCTTGGAGGCAGAGCTGTGATTTCCCCTGGGCTGAAGCTGGCCTGAGGTGAGAGCACAGCTCTGCCCAAGTTGGGGCTGAACTGAACATGTCTGTGGCTTCTTTGGGCTGCAAACTACCACCGTGTGCCTTTAAAGGGACGTGCACAACCTCCTTGGGCATCCTGTTCCGGGGGGGAGGCACTGGCACAGGTTGCCCAAGGAGGCTGTGGATGCCCCATCCCTGCAGGCATTCAAGGCCAGGCTGGATGTGGCTCTGGGCAGCCTGGGCTGCTGGTTGGCGACCTGCACACAGCAGGGCTTGGAGCTGGATGAGCACTGTGCTCCTGTGCAACCCAGGCCATTCTAGGATTTGGAATCTGTGAGCAGTAGTATGGAAGCTCAGCAGTAGCAATGTGCACACACAGGGAAGATGGCCTTTAGGTTGCAATAATGGCCAGGCAAACAGAGCCCTTTCCCAGCTTTGTTTGGAGCAGAGCGGCACACAATACATTTGTTTGGCTTTTTTGTGAGGTCTTCCATAAGCTGCCAGCTGACACTGCAGCCCCCTGAGGGGTGACTGTGTGGTGCAGATCGCCTTTGGGTCCTTTTCAGTTCAGGTCATTTTTCTGTTCTGGCTGGCACCACAGTACAAGTTCCACGAGGCCTCCAAGGCCCTGCCTGTTCCTGTCCATTAGTGACAGTCACTTCTCTCATTCCCTCATCCCTGTTGTTTGCATGACCTCCGTGAGCCCGAAAGCCTTTGTGGTGAGCAGTGAGCTCCCTGCAGACAGCAGGAGGGAGGTGGGCTCTGAGTTCCCATCTTCTGCCCTCCTGCAAAGCAACTTCCTGATTTGATTCTGTGGCTTTTCTAATGCTGTCTAAACCAGACTCTGTGGAAGCAGGATGAGTGTATCTGTAGCAAACATTGCTAGGGCTATAAATTTGGCAATAGACACAGGTTTCCTACACAATCCCTCTCATCGAAAGAACACTGCTGGGTGCTGAATCCGCACCGCTTACTTGGAATGCACTTCCAGTTGGAAAAGATGAGCAGGAAATGCAGAGCCTGTGTGTGCCCAGCAGTGCTGGATGACCCCAGGGCTGCACAGAGAGGATGTGCACTGCAGCTCTCCGCGTGCTGGGCCTTTTATCAGCCGTGGTGATGGATCTGTTCCACTCCAGAATCGCTTTGCTGGAAACCACACAGCAAACATTGTGCCTGGAGATGGAACTTATTTGATGGCTTTTGCCAGTCGCTGTAGCATTTAGAAATGACGTGTATAGGTTTTCTGCCTTATGGAGGTGGGTTTTGTGGATGGGTGGGCCTTTGTTCTGTTAGTTTTTCACTAGTTCCTGTTGACAGCTTTTTTTTCCTTCAGAATCAATATATTGCAGGGAAATTGTGTAGCCATGCAGATTTGCTTGCATCAGTTTTTGTGTGACATGTTTCCATTTTCCTGTTAGGGCTGTCACCATTCCTTGCTGGCTGACGTGGAAGATGTGTGCTCATGGCATTCAGGTCTCTGCACTTGAGGCCGAGGCATTGCCTGCAGGGTGCTGGGTTGCTCTGGCTTTCTGCAGCCTGGCCAGCCCCTTCCAGCTCAGTCTTGCTGGCTGCAGAAGCCCAGACTTCAGTCCCACAGCAGCATCCTAAAGAATGCATTTGCACATGCAATCCATGTTATTTATGGCTTTTTTTAAGACACAACTTGCAAATTGCCATCTTGCAAAATTCAATCCATTCGTGTTTGTGTCAGAATGATATTCCCAGGGTTGCCCTGAGCCTCCAGTCACAATTTCTCTTCCTGCCCCTGGGTAGCTTTGAAACTGCAGTTTGCACAGTGATGGGAAGCAGGCTGTGCCTTGGGCATACAGCACCAGAGGAGGCCATCTGCTGCTACTTTCTCTTTGCAAAGGCCTTTCTCCATTTGTCCCCAGAGCCTTCCTTTGTTCTCCCCTTTTTGATTGCACTGCTAGTAGGCATTTGGCAGTATTTACAGTACCAAGCAGGGAAAGAATGGTGTGCTGATGGGAGCAAGTGTGGGAGAGAGCTGTTACGATTCCTGGGGGCAGGTGGAAGGTGAAGGCAGGGGCTGTGCCAACTTGAGGAGGACTTAAGGCAGCGAGTGAGAGCGCTTTGTTGTGAGAAGGGCCGGGAGCTGCTCCTTCTGAACGGTGTCACCAATGGATTTGGTTGCACGTGTGAACCTCAGAGCAGGACTCTCAATTTTACAAACGTTTCACCTAGGGGACTGCTTACAAAATTTGGCGATGGGAGCGAAGATGTTGAAGAGTGAGTGAACCTCCTTCGTGTGCAGCGGCGTTGGCTCCGCGTGGCTCTCGCTAAGCAGGCAGTGCTCTGGCAAAAGCTCTTCCTTTAAAAGGCTGCAGGCAGCTTTGCCACTCATAAAGTGAAGGCTGGTTGTGCTCCAAGGTCTAACGCACGCTTGTCTGTTGTCTGACCATCTGGAGAACGTGTGCACAGCGATGCTTTCTTCCTTGCTCTCCTCTTTTGGGGTGTATGGAAGCACCTGATACCTGCAGGCCGACTTGGCATCGATTAATCCATCCGGGCCTAACAGTGCCGTGGGCATGCAGGTATCTCTGCAGAGCTCTGGGGGTTTGTGCAGCTCCTCTGCTGGACTGAGCCAGAACAAAAGCTGCAAACTGCATGGAGTGGCTGGGAACTGCGTGCTGCTTGGCCCTGCGTTTGGATGCAGCTGGGACTGTTTTTACAGACGTCCAGTGGTCTTGTTTTGCCACCTTGACAAATCCGGGGAGGACACTGCTCTGTGACATGACGTACTGGCTGGTCCAGAAATGCTGCATTTTCACTGTCAGGAAGCATTTTCTAGTAAAACAAACACAAAAGCAACATTCACATAATGGGAGGGTGGTGGCTGCACAGAACCAGTGCCTTTACCTGTATGATGTGCTTACCATGCAGTGCTCTCTGACAGCTGCATTTAGAAAGAACATAAGTCTTTAGTAAAAACAACACCTCTAACAACATTAACATGCTTTCATCCTCCCCCCCAGTCTTGGACTTCTGGTTTAACTCCATTTGTGCAAAACTGCAGTCAGTCTTTTCTGTGCATCTAGCTTCTCTTATTTACAGTCTTTGTTCTCAAGCAATTCTATTCATGTTGTTGGTTTAACTGAGACAGCTACTGCATCTTTTCATTTCAGGTCAACCCTTAAGCGAGCAGGGCCACCTCCACTGCCCCCTAAGGTAAGTGACTGTGAGTTTCACGGGTTTGGGGCAGCAAAGCCCCCACTCATGCAGCCTCTGCAGTGCTGCCCTTGGATGCTCTCAGCAGGTTGTAAGTCCTGTTAAATACCACTTACAGGCAGGCTTCATGTGCCTTCTTGTTTTTGCTGGCTTGGTCTGTGCAGTCTTGACCTGTGGGAACTCCAGCACTGTGCACTGCTCTTGGCAAAGTGGCTTTAGGTATTTCTGCTTTAAGGAGAGCATGCTGTGAAATGTCCTTTCGGTCAGTGTTCTGCCTGCAGCTGGGATTTTTCCTGCAGAGAAGGAATACCTCTTAGATTGTTCTTCTGTCAGATGCCTTTGCTCAAAGGCTGATTCCTTTTTAACATAGCAGCAGTGTATCCTGAATTAAAATTTGCCTTGTGTGTGCTTCAGGATGCCATTTCCCAGGTACTCATCACCTCTTTTGTTTGTTGCAGCCAAGAATAAACAGTTACCCTGAGGAAAACCTCCCAGATGATGAGAAATCTCAGACGATAAAACACTTCCCTGACTCACAGAACAGAGCCCCACCAGCTCATAGGAGGCAGAGTATTCCTGTCTGTGGGCCTCAGGCTGATTCTTCCCCCATTGGTATGACCAGCAGCATCAGTAGCCCAGGATTGCTCACAGCTAGATACAGCGACTTGGGTAAATGCATTGCATTTCCTAAAGGTGACTTGTTTCCTGTAAAAGGAAATCAGTTTGGGATCAGCTTTGTTTTCAGTCGACAGTTTGTTTAGTACAAGCTGACCACAGAGCACATCTTTCCTTTTATTGTGTGTGCTGGTTCCTATTAGAGCTGTGACCCGTGGCAAAAATGTTCTTCCCCAAACAGGGATGCTCAGCCAGTCAGTGCCTGCACGAATAAAGTAACACATGTGCAGGAAGGACTGTCTGTAAGGACCTTGGCCCAAGGAATGTTTGGGTAACGAGGAGCCTTAATTACGGTGTATCTTTGTATGCAGAAGAGTGGCCAGCTGTCCTTGAAGGGATTTGGCTACCTGAGGTGTCCATGTGAGGAGGCTTTGTAGTTCACTGTGCTCTACTCCTAGACACAGGGGAAGAGCAACAATAGAGCAACAAAGAATTTTCTGTTTCATTATGTCAAGTGAGTTCCAAAGTGTACCTGGGCTTCTTTGTAGGAAATGGGGACGGCATGCTGAAACTCATTGAGGAAAATGCAGAAGGATCCTCACAGATCCCTCAGCTGCCACGTAAAAAAGAGAAGAGAGATTTTCCTGTAAGTACTGCGCCTCTCAGTCTGATCAGCTGCTTCGTGTCATCTTTCCTTTCAAGCTAGCGTTGCGTCAATGCGTGGGACATTCTTGATGATCTTTCTCTCTTCCCACAGAAGCCAGCAATCAATGGTTTGCCACCAACGCCAAAGGTGCTGGTAAGAAATCTCATTTGCACTCAGAGTTGTTGGAAGCCCGCTGTCACATCATGTCTGGTGTCAGAAGGTTGATGCTGTGAGCCAGCGCCTCGTCTGGGCTGGTGTCCTGCGTGCCATAGCCGATTACTTTTCATTCAGTCATTTGTGTATTAGAGCCTGTTCTTAAAACCCTGCTTTCACTGTTCGGTCAGGTGGTGAAGGGCAGACACCTCGCTGGCTGTGGGCTGTGATCTCCACTGGCTTTCTCTTTAATGAAAGGGGAAGGGAGGTGGTGATGGGAGAGGGTGTAGCAGGGTGTTTGTGCTTGTTTTGCCTTCTCACACTGTTGCATAAGCGTTCCTTGTTGTTCTTACCAGTAGGTAAGAATTGTCCGTGTAACTTAGATTCCTCTTTGCATTTCTTAACCTATATGAAGTCTGTGGAAAGGTTTGGAAGGCTGCATTGTAGATTTTGGGGGAAGATAGAAGCATTTTGCATGTTACAGTTCAGTTTGTGTCTGAAGAGAAGGCCGCAGCAGTGCGTGCAGGTGTGTCTTACGTGGCTGAGTGCTGGAGGTTAACAGCTTTGTGCTGGGAACTTGTCTGACTTCTCAGCTCTGTGTCTTTCAGATGGGAGCGTGTTTCTCCAAAGTTTTCGATGGTTGCCCTTTGAAGATCAACTGTGCAACGTCATGGATTCATCCGGACACTAAAGGTAACACTGTTGTTTGTGTTTGCAACCCACCAGTTGGCCACGGTGGTCAGGAGCTTCTGAAACAAACCCTATCTTGTTTTTCAGATCAGTACATCATCTTTGGAACAGAAGAAGGTATCTATACTTTGAATTTGAATGAACTTCACGAAGCAACAATGGAACAGGTGATTTGGGTGCATCAAACACACAGAATAGATTTGGTGACACGAGGAAGCCAGAAGGCTTTATGTTAGAAGGGGGAGAGATGGGACGCTGGGCTTTGTGGTGTGAAATGATTCGCGTCGAAGGAAACACTGGAAGTCCTGAAATTAATAATTCCCCTGCTTGAATTCTTGTTGCTGCTTATATAACACTGCTTTCACGGGGGCTCTGCACTAAAATAGCTTTCTCCTTGCAGACAACAGGTTGCCTGTCGTTTCTTTCTCCGTTTCATCACCACTAGATGGCACATTGCTTCTCCTCGGGCTGCTACCGAAGCCCTTGGCCATTTAATGTAGCTGGCGTTGTTACCACCAATACACACACATTCTCCTCTGTTTCTTGGGCTCTCTAACCCCTTCTAAACCACTTCACACAATCGTGGTGGTGTTAATTTGCTTTTTTGGAATCAGGAGGAGCAGAGTGTTGTTAGCAGGGAGCGCAGGCAAAAGGTTTGGTGGTGCACATTTGAATTTGCTACGATGTAAAGGTCCTTCCAAGTGTTGGGAGATGAGCAAAGGCCTGAATGCAAGAGGAGAACACAGAGTTTGAAGGCTTTAAAAATGTTTTTGTTGTATCAGCAGACTTAGGGAACAACAACTTGCTTTTCTAATAAATGTCTAACAAAAAAAAGTGGTGACTGTTGCTGAAGATTCCCAGGCCTTACCTCAGTTATCTCTCTACTCAGTAAAACCAATCTGTCCTTGTGAATTTTCTACGTTATTTTATGTAACACTCCTCTCCAAACTCTGCCAGCTGCTTTTTTTATGTCCTGTCGAGGGGTTGGAGCTGCTGGTGGCCTCTAGAGACAACTCAGTAATGTCTACATAGGACACTTAATGCATCCTAAAATGAGAGTTTCCCTTCCTGAGAGCACAGCCTCAGCTGGCAGAAGTGTGACTGGTTCACTTGCAAAGCTCCAAGGCCTACAGCAGGGCTTCAGCCATGCTGGTTGGATTCCTTACCACCAAATGTTGGGACCTGAGATTTTTGTTTAACTGTTTCTCAGGTTTTTCATTCTGATCCTATCCTCCAAAGTGCTTCCTGTCTCTCCAGGATTAATATCTGCCGATTCCTGAATCATAGGATCGTGGAATGGTTTGGGTTGGAAGGGACCCTGCACACGTGCTTCACATCTCCCTGTTTCTCTGCACCCAGTAGCAGGTGCTCTGTTGAAGGAGGTGTGTGTGCACAGCAGCCTGCTCTGCACAGCTCTCTTGTGACCCCTTGGGAGTTTTAGGGACGTGTCAGTGAGCGTGGTGGGGACGGGTTGGGATTGGACTTGTGATGGAGGTCCTTCCCAACCCTGGTGATTCTGTGAGTGTGTGGATTAAAAACTTGTCCTTGAGGCCCTTGGTTGTCTTCCAGCAGCTTTTGAAAATAACTGTTAGAGAGGCCTTGGGCTTTGAGCCAGTTCTTAGGTACTGTGAAGTAAAGCAGCAGGCCTTCCCTGGGGCCCGCTGACATGAGGATATGGTCAAACCAGTCATTAACTGGGCTTTTATCTGCTTGTAGCACAGGTTTGTCCACCTCATCGTGTAGTCCAGATGTTCCTTCCTGTCAGGCTGTGTGCTTTCCCAGTTATCCCTTTTGCTTTCCCAGTTATCTGCTTGGTTGGCTTCTCTTGTTGCCTCCATCTGATTACCGTTGATCATTTGATTTACATCTTAACCTTAGATTTCTTCACCCTGGTTTATCTCGTGGTTGCCAGTTCATCCTCAGCATTAGGCCCTGGTTTCCATTGGGTTTGTGATACTTATATCAGAAATGCTCTCCCATCTCGTGGTCGCTTGGCAGGGGCCCATAGGGAACAACTGTTCCCCTTTCCACCTTTTGCTATGGGGAGTTGTGAATGAAGGAAGCTTCATGAGATTGGAGGGGAGAGACTGAACAGGCTGGGGGGAGGTAAATGCCCTGGAGCTCACTGAATGCATAGAAGCCCTATCTGATTCAGCAGGTTTCCAAGCTGAGAAGTATTGGGTGTAGCACTGTATCCATTACTTTGCTGTGCTGGGCATTTCTTTGGTTAAATTATATCACTTTCCAGTGCCTGTTGGAAATAGGTGGATGTTTGCTTGAACCAGCACAGCTGTTCCTTTGCAGATCCTGGTCTCCAGCATGTCCCTGTTGATTGCAGGGGAGCTGGACTCCATGGCCTTTAAAGGTCCCTTCCAACTCAAACAATTCTATGGTTCTGTGATCTTCTGCAGTGATTGCAAAGCTCCCTCAGCACAGCGCTCTGCTGATGCCTTTTTTTAATGGCCTGCTTTCAAAACAGCTTTAATCCTAGGAACTTTTTTTTTTCTCACTGGATTTTTTTTCTCATGGGAGACCTGGGAACCTTCAATAAATTCAGTCAGCCAGCAAAATCCGTGTCCTTGTTGTGTTACTCCTTTCAGGATTGAGACTCCTGGATGCTGTCACTGAAATTCCCTTCAGAAGGCTCTTACCTTACAGCTTTTCAAGTCCAGGCTGGCTGCCCCTTGTGTAACTTCCTTCCTCTGCACCAAAAGCAGTCCCAGTGCCTTCCAGGAGCTGCTCCAGTCTTTGCCCATCGCCCCTCTGTGCTGCCAACTGAAACATAAAGAACGTTACCAGTTGGAATGTCCTGGGGGTAGGAGAGGGAATGAATGAAGGTGCTTCAGACAAAACAGTATTGCTAAGCCAGGGCTCCAGAAGGAAGAATTGAAGGGGAAAATGCCATGCAGTGGGACTTTGACCAATGGCTGTTGCTGTAGAACAGAGACAGGTGTGGAGCAGGCAGAGAAAGCTGTGGGGATGAACCCCTGCGTGCTTCTACTAAAGGAAACAATTTCTCTTTTCAGTTGTTTCCCCGGAAGTGCACCTGGCTGTATGTTATCAATAACACCTTGATGTCCTTGTCAGGTACGTATAATAGGAGAAAGAATTTAAGGATGATAAAGAGAGGCCCTTAAATCATAATTCAGTACATCGTATGTTCACTGTTCTGAAGTAGAAAACTGCTCTGTTCCTTGTGCTTCTATAGGAAGGTTTTTTTCATGAGTGTTGCAGTTGGAAAGATTTCCATAGCTAAAATTCAAGTGCAAGATTCAATTCAAGTGCTTGCTAGAATCTCTTGGCCACGGTTTCCCACCATTTTATTAACTGAATCAGTTTGGAAAAGATTTGGTGTTAGTTTGAAGAACCGTGGGTGTTTGTCCAACTGCTGGAGCTGTCATTTGATAACAGCACCCAGAGAGTTTGGAGCATCCTCCTCTTCGGTTCCTGAGCTGGGAGAGCTGCATCAGGGCACTCTCAAGCATCATAAGCAAATGAAGGCAGGATTAAGCTCAAGCTTGCTAATGCAGCTGCATTACTGCGGTGATGCTGCTGGGTTTGACCCTGTGCTGTAGCCTGGCTGCATGGTCAGAATGAGCCAGAGTTGGGGAATAAAACCAGCTTGTAGTTAAAGGAGGAGGAGGTGGCAGTGAGGTGGATGGGGGCAAAGAAGTTCTGCTGCTCTCCAGCAGGGAAACAGGAGGGTTGTGACACACAGAGCGAGAGGAGCGTTGTGCCTTTAGAGGAGTGGGTTTGTGTCACACCGCTTCCCCTGGTTTATGGATAACTGTCCCGGGCTATTTAATTGCTGAGGTGTAATTACAGCCTCCTAAAAATGCGTGCCTAACTTTCAGAGCTTTGTTAGTGTTACTGAACTTTGCATTGAATGCCTTGTCTTCTCTATATGCATTATTATCGTTGTCTTGTTTTATTTTTCTTCCTAATTGGACTTGAAATATCTGACGCATGTGGTCCATTTTTCTAGAAGGTAATTTTCTTACATACATTTTCCTATCGTGCACGGCTCCCTGGTGGAGGCAGTGTGCCACAGCAATGCGTGCTCTTCTCTCTTGCAGGGAAGACGTTCCAGCTCTACTCCCATAATCTGATAGCTTTGTTTGAACAAGCCAAAAAAACAGGACTAGCTGCTCACATCCAAACCCATAGGTTTCCTGACAAAATATTACCAAGGTACAAGTCTTTCTCTTGCAATTAGTAACAGATGACAGTGCTTTGGAACACGGATGGGTTGGGAGCATGGAAGGACCTCAGCCTCTCTGGTTGATGTGCTTTTTGTACCTGTTGTTGCAGGAAGTTTGCCTTAACGACAAAGATTCCTGACACAAAAGGGTGTCACAAATGCTGCATAGGTGAGTACATGCATAACTTCCCATTTAATTAATCAGGGAGTCATAGAACCACAGCATGGCCTGGGTTGCACAGGAGCACAGTGCTCATCCAGCTCCAACCCCTGCTGTGTGCAGGTCGCCAACCAGCAGCCCAGGCTGCCCAGAGCCACATCCAGCCTGGCCTTGAATGCCTGCAGGGCTGGGGCATCCACAGCCTCCTTGGGCAACCTGTGCCAGTGCCTCACCACCCTCTGGCTGAAAAACTTCCTCCTCATATCCAACCCAAACCTCCCCTGTCTCACTTTAAAACCATTCCCCTTGTCCCATCACTTCAACAGAAATTTTTCATACCAACTCTTAACCTAAACATGTTGCTATCTAGAGTAAGATCCATTGGGAAACCCAATGGAGGATGGCAGTTCTGTGTCTGTTTGAGAACTGACCCCAGCACTGTGTGAGATCGGATGTTACACTTCTGCTCAAGCAGAGTACGAGGTACCCAGCTGTGAACGTGGCGATCCTGTGCAGCTCATCTCAAGTGTCTGCAGTTGGCATATTTATAACTAATTGCTGAAATCAGGCTGCTCTTGTATGTAACTGAGCCAAAAGAACAACCAGCCCTCCATCGTGTTTATTGCATTAGCTGTCAGAGCTCACAGGGAGGCTCTGGGCATGTGGACTGCTTGGAGATGGTTTTTATTTAAGTCACAGCTGGACCCAGACCTTTAACTCCCCTTCCTCAGCCCCGGGAAGAAGGTGGTTCTGTTTTCTGGCCTCTTCACTGGGACTTAGCACATGCTTGTTGTTTGTAATCAGAAGGGTGATTGCGTTCATTTGGAACGTGGCACAGCATTCATTGCTGTGGAGATTCAAATGGCTGTGCAGAAAACAGCTGTCAGTGAGAAAGTGGGGCTGGTTGTTGAATGATTTGTAAAGATACCTGCAATTTTTATTTTCATTTGGTCTTCTGGAATGAGAAGGGATCGATTCTGTTGTTCTCTTTGTTTCTTATAGTCAGAAATCCGTACACAGGACACAAGTACCTCTGCGGTGCGTTGCAGTCTGGAATTGTTCTGTTACAGTGGTATGAGCCAATGCAGAAATTCATGTTAATAAAGGTAAATATTTCCTTCTGGAACATTTGCTTGTGCTTGTCCCTCTTCCCTGCCCCATCATCCTAATTGTGACGTGGTGGTGAAATAACCTTTCTGCAATCTGTGATGGAGAGTCCGTCTCCGTCTGCTCACATCTGTGTGTTTGGAGCCCTTGAAGATGTGCCTTGGCACACACAGACTAAGAAAATCCAGTGGCTGAAAAGGGTGCAGTGCTGGATCTAGCCCAGTACCAGCAGGATGGACGAGCACAGGTCATAGCCTGCACAGCTTACAAACACTCTTAGCAGCAGCGAAAAGCAGCCCTGCATCTTTTACACTTTGTGTGTGTCGTTTTAAGCGTCCCATCTCCAAGGCAGAGGGAAACTTCACAAATGCCTGTGTTGCTTTTTCCCCCCAGCACTTTGATTTTCCTTTGCCGAGCCCTCTGAATGTCTTTGAGATGCTGGTGATCCCAGAGCAGGAGTACCCCATGGTCTGCGTCGCTATCAGCAAAGGCGCCGAGCCAAACCAGGTGGTTCACTTTGAGACAATCAACTTGAACTCTGCTTCTTCGTGGTTTACAGAAATCGGTGCAGGTAAGCCTGGGCTGTCCTACAGCCTGCTAAACATCCTCAGAAGTCATTTGGAAACCTTTGTGCGAGGCAAAATGAGGCAGCCTCCCTTCATAGAGCGCGTTGAAGCTGATCCCAAGTTCCTCCTGTGATGATTTGCCAGCCTCAGTGTAAACGATCCTGAAGACTTCATTTTTAGACACGTCTCTTATTGGATGTCCTTAAATAGCAATGCAGACCCTGCTGGTTGCACTCTCATTTGTGGTTGCATACTTCTTGCTGGGGTCAGTCTTCATGCTCTTTCCCCTTCATTCCTGTGTCAAGACTCACATAAATGCATTCCTGTCTGTCCTCCAGCCCCTGGGGGAGGGCTGTTGTCTTCAGCTGCCTATTAAGAAGGAGATTGTTTTGGTTTATCTTCAAAAGCTGCTTGATATCTTGCAGATGCTTTGCTTTGCTGGCTTTCTTGGATATACTTCTTTACATTTAAATACAGCTGTGATGAGAACTTCATTAATTAAAAAGTATGCAAACCGTTCAACTCCAGTTCAATAATAGCACGATAATCTTTCCAGATGTGAGTTTAGGGGAAAAGAGCACTTTCTATAGGGGGAAAGATTCCTTAATGATTCCTTCTGTTCATTATAATTCGTCTCCTTGAAGGAAGCTGACTTGCTGTGCTGAACTGTTACACGAAATGCATTTCATTTATTGCCACTAACTGGCAGTGCTTTCATATTGAGTACATGCTTGGAGCTCATAGGCTCGTCCCTGGGCCCTGCTCTGCTCCCACAGCATTGTTGGATTGTGCAGCACTTAAGAAAAGGATGAAAGAACAGCAAAGACAGTAGATTGCAGAACGTTTGTAGTGTATGAAAGCACTGTGGCCATCAGCAGAGTTTGAGGGGGTTTCTGAGCTGAGTTCTTTGATGTGATATAAAATCATCTCTTCCCTTTTCCACAAGGCAATCAGCAGCTGGATGCCATTCATGTGACACAGCTGGAAAGAGACACCGTGCTGGTCTGCCTGGACAGTAAGTGATGAGCACCACTGGGCAGCCTGCTGCCCTCACACAACTCTTCGGCCACAGTCATTTCACCTTGCCATTAATTAATAGCTCTCTCTCCATTACTCATTTGTATGTCACTGACACACACCACGCAGGTAACTGATGCTATGGATTGCTCTTCTCACTTTGGCTCTCACAGTTCCACTTTTCCTCTCTGTAGGCTCATCATTCTTGCTTCTTTCCCAACACACTGTAATGCAGCATTGCAGACGAGAATTCAAATGCACACACAGTGACTGTAGCAGTGATCTGTGTGCCCCAGAGGTCAGGACCTGGCTGGGAGCTCTGCAGTGACTTTAATCTGCCTACATTTGCAGCCTTGATGTTGGCGTTGGCATTCCTGCACCAAGCTGGGTATTTTCAGGAAGGCCATCAGTAAAGTCTAAAGACATGAAATCTGTAAGAAAGTTTTCTCTATTCATATTGAGAGCAGGGTTTGGGGCCCACAGCCCAGCTGTCAGGTGTGGGCGTTCTGTTTTTGTACCTAAAAGCTGAAATTAGTATTTTGTCCTTCATGCTATCAGTAATCCTTTGCAGGCATGGCTCTTAAGGCTTGTTTTTCTGCTTCCCTTAAGAATTTGTGAAAATAGTGAATTTACAAGGGAAACTGAAGTCAAGCAAGAAGTTGGCCTCGGAGCTGAGCTTTGATTTCTGCATCGAGTCAGTGGGTGAGTGTTTGGGCTGTCTGCTCGGAAGGGCTGAGGATGGGGGAAGGAGGGCAGCTGCCAGCTGGTGCACGGCCAGCCTGTGGTGAAGATGAGTTGGCTGTTGAGAAAACCTCTGCTCCCAGGGCTGTGCTGAGTGCCTTTGGTGTGTGCAGCTGGGACACAGCTCGTGCTGAGCAGAGACACAAGGAAAACAAAGCGTTGTATAAACACGGTTTCTGCAGTGCTGCTTAAAGAGCACTGGGTTCTTCCACCATCATGTTAAGGAATCTGATAATGAAATCATTCAGAGCTGGCAGTTCACTGCGCTCTCTCTTTGGCCTGGTGGCACAGTCCTCCCCATTCTTCGTGCTCGTGTCTGTTTGGAAGTAATCACTGCACTGAGCTGTAATTTCCAGCAGTCCAACTGCTGTTGGCAGTGCGTCTCTGCAGAATCAGATCAGTAGGAAAATAAAAAGCCAGGCAAGTGATGGGAAAAAAGGGAAAAAACAGAGGCCTGTGTCTTGGCAAACAGTGAGTGTGTGAGTGGTGTGATTGGAGCTGAACTGGAGAAAGCAATGTGTGCCTCAGATCCAAATGGTGATTCCAACCAGGTTTTTATACAGATTTTGGTTTCATCCTTCTGTCACGAGTCAAAGTCTCACATGTTCTTTGTCCACGTGGTTCCCATTATCGCTGCTGGTCAGAATCCCAGATTCCCTGGTTCTGAGAAGCCAGGCGTGGGGCTGAGTTTGTGTTTCTGCTCTGCAGTGTGCCTTCAGGACAGCGTGCTGGCCTTCTGGAAGCACGGCATGCAGGGCAAGAGCTTCAAGTCAGATGAAGTGAGTAACCTCCCAATGTCTCCTGGTTTGACCGAGTCCTGCTCCTTAGTTGCCAGTTGACCCTTAGGCCCCCCAGCTGCTCCCCAGGTGACAGTGCTTATGCCTGCTGTTGGCCTGGTTCAGCTTGCTGCTCGCTTTCTCTGACTGCCCTGATGTGTTGCTCCTGACAAGCTCACACTGTGCTTTAAGCACCTCTGTTTGTAGGAGCATCACACAGAGGCTCTGTGCAGAGGCTCTGCAGATCTGGTGCAAGCAGCAGTAAAAAAATGATTTAAAGTGAGCTTTACTTTATGAAGTTCAGACGCTTCTTTACTTAGCACCAGTTTGTCTGATTCAGTCCTGTAATTTTCCCTGAATTATATTTGCATTTTTGATTTCTTTCTTCCTTCCAGCTCACACCAGGGCATCTCATTTTGCCTCTGAAATGGACCTTAATATCTCCATCTTTCTGCAGGTTACCCAGGAGATATCAGATGAAACCAGGGTTTTTCGCTTGCTGGGCTCTGACAGGTAATCAGTGTGAAGAAACACACACCTGTTTTCTTTCAGTGAGCTTCCACACGTGTGGGCTTCCATCCCACAGCAGATCCATCCGTAGGCAGTCCTGCAGGACAAGTCTCACTTGTTTCTACCTGCAATAGCTGTGATGATTTTCACGCTGACCTGACACTATCTGGCAACAGATCACTTCTAAAAAGGCCTTTGCTGCTCTGGACCCTGAGAAGTGGAAATAGTGAAGCAAACTTGAGCTCATTGAGGGTTGAACGTGCCGTGGTGCATTCACCTTGTTAGCCCTAAGGCTGCAGTGCACACTGCTGCCTCCAGTGGGAGAGCTTTGCTGAAGCTGCCCCAGTTCTCCTGGGTTTGGAGGTGTGTGTTTGTATTTCCCCACTGCAGTCTGTGCTGCGCACCTGAGCCACTGGGGGCTCGTTGTGCCTGAGCACTGCCATTGGAATTGAGTGTTCTTCCCACAGCCACCTCTGACTGCAGAGATAACAAAGGCTGTGCAGCCTCTGGCAGGGCTCTGCCTGTTGTGTTGCATGGTTGGATATGAGGAGGAAGTTTTTCAGCCAGAGGGTGGTGAGGCACTGGCACAGGTTGCCCAAGGAGGCTGTGGATGCCCCATCCCTGCAGGCATTCAAGGCCAGGCTGGATGTGGCTCTGGGCAGCCTGGGCTGCTGGTTGGCGACCTGCACACAGCAGGGCTTGGAGCTGGATGAGCGCTGTGCTCCTGTGCAACCCAGGCCTTGCTAGGATTCTGTGATTCTATGACAGGCAGTGGTGATTTCCTTCCCACTGACTCCCAGTAGAGCAAGTTGATCACAAGAATAAGCTTTTGCTGCTTTGTGCAGTTTTTTCCATCCTTCTCAAGCTGCCCAGTTCCTCCTTTTATCACTGTCCAGACAGAAGACTTTCTTGCTACACTCAGGTGAGCTCCAGTAACACCTTTCTGGCTTGGATCCCATCAGAGCTATGGAGGTGCAGAAGGGAAGGACAGGAGGGGCTGCCTGTGGGTCGGAGGGCTGACTGCTCCCCTGCCCTTTGTTTGCCTGGGTGTTGTTAAGGAAGAGATGCTACAGAGTGGGAAAGGAGGTAACGAGTTTAAAGGAGAAAATGCCCCAATGTTTAGGAGCTCCCTCTCCCCCCAGCCTCGAGAAAGCTGTAACAGCCACGTACTGTGTGCTCTGCTGCTGACTGCTTGGGTGTTGTTTGTGTTTGGTTGCAGAGTGGTGGTGCTGGAGAGCAGGCCGACGGAGAACCCAACTGCACACAGCAACCTCTACATCTTGGCTGGCCACGAAAACAGTTACTGAGCTGCAGTGACCCAACGTGGGGGATTCACCGCGGGGGGAAAAAGGAGCATTAGGAAACTCAGTGCGTGTGGGACTGTGACTCTTTGCTTCTCTTGACACCTACGTTTTGCTGTTTTCAGGTGGAAATCAATACATTTTAGCAGCTGGGAACAGCTGGTTCTGTCTCTTGCCACTGTGTGGTTGGTTATGTCAAGTTTGCTTAATAAAAGCTATGATAAGTAGCCCTTTACTCATTAGTGTAGGGAAACAGAGCCTTTAAAATAATGTTATTCAGTAAAGGTGCCATAAACTGTTAATTATTTTACTTCCCTCGGGCTTCCCGTGCATCCTGTAGATACAGACCTAGTGGCTGTTTCCCCCTTTTATACCGAGTCTTCTTAATTAAAAAACCCAATTTGTGTAGGGAGTGAAAGTATCCGCAGAGCTCCTTGGTTTTCAGTCTGCCGTTCGGTATGGCTTTGTACTATAGACTATTTAATCCTTATTTATTAATCTGCTGCTAGGGTGGTGTCACGGATCTAACTTTGAGCACAGGAAGGTTGCGGAGCAGCTCACAGGTTTGGTTTTTTACAGCTGTATAAAGATTCGACGATTCTTTTCCTTGTAGAGATGTAGTGCATTACTGAGGCTATGTTACAGCGCCGGACTTTGTAAAAATGCAGTTTTGTACAACCAAGTATTTTGTATGGATTTTCTTCTTGCCTGCAGAATTGCCATAAAAGGGATTTTCTTCTTTGCTAGACGTAGGGGTGCTGTACACAAAATGCAGTGTTGGTATTGACGTGTTGCTGCCGGGTGGGTGTGTGCCAGACACATCCGTGTGTGTGCATGTGTGCATGTGTATCCAGCTGACCGGCGGCGTGTATTTTTATATCTATATATATATTTATATATATATATAAATGTACAAAATAGCTATGCTTTATTTTCACAAGTTAGGGACGAGCCTGGTGGCAGGAGGTGGAAACTGCACCCGGGCCTCATCCTTAACCAATGGAAGCGTCGTGTATCGGGCTGCCCTGACGTGTAGGTTATTTATGCTGTTCCCAGGGGGAGAGCGGAGCTGCACGGCCCTCTGCTCTGCCCTCCTCCTCCTGTTGGGCTTTGGGTGCCGCGTTCCCCGCTGGGTGGTATAAATAAATACGATAAGAAGCAGTATTCTGTATTAAAGCTTTCCATCACCTCTTCCCCTTCCCTGTTCTGTCAGCTGCGTTTGTTCCTTCTGATTTTGTTCCTTCATTAAAAAGCCATGTGGGTTCGTTTGTCTTTCTCGTTCATTAAGACTTTGAGGTACCTTGGGCTGATGATGGCATCTGGTTTTGCTACCTTACGTCCACCTGCTTGCTTCAGTCTGTAGGCAGATAGAGCAGTGCTTTGGTAAGATTGGAGGGCTCTGAAATCGTGGAATCATAGAATCATAGAATAGATTGGGCTGGAAGGGACCTCAAGGATCACGAATCTCCAACCCCCCTGTGCCATGCAGGGCCACCAACCTCCACATTTCACAGCAGCCCAGGCTGCCCAGGGCCCCATCCAACCTGGCCTTCAACACCTCCAGGGATGGACGGGGCATCACAGCCTCTCTGGGCAGCTGTTCCAGCACCTCACCACTCTCACAGCACAGAACTTAATGGAGCCCTGCAGCGTGCAGCATCCATCCTGCTGCCCTAAGAGAGATGGGTCTGGAGCTTTGTGCATCGCTGTGAGGGGGCAGGAATGGGAGCATGGCACTGAGCTGGGCCTGGCCTCGAGGCTGCGAGCAGAACTGGAGGAGGTTGATTGAACTCCAAACCTGACAGATGGAGTGCAGGGATGTCTGTGTGGGCACCAACCTGCTGGTTGGCATTGAACACCGATGGGATGAGCTCACACACGTGGTGCATCAGTAATGTGCTTTGTTACATGTGGGTGTTCTGAAGGTCAGGAAGGAGCACCAGCAGACTGCATGCTGTGTAGTGCTTTATCTACTTAGCAGTGTCATTCAGAAGCCGTTCTTGGTACTGACTTGAGGTTTACATCAAGTCTGGCTTTTCAGTTCCATATCCATATCAGGGTTTGATAACTGATGTACATCCAGAACCTAAAAGTCAGCCACCACCAATGCTTGGAAGTTGGTCGAGTGGGCAGCTGGATGGGCACCGTGAGGGAGAGGTTTAAGTTCCACGTGTGAAGGAAGCTGAGCTCTGCAGCACTGAGCTGGGAGCCCTGGGTGGCAGTGGAGGTGAGCAGTGCTGGGTGAGCAGCCCCAGGTGGTGCCCCAGGATCACAGCAGCAGCTCTACTGCAGAAGCAAAGAAAAAGTGAAGCACGGCATATGGATGTTGTAGAGGAAGTGTTTGCCCTCGTTTCACTCAGTGCAGAAGTTTGTTTGGGCTTCATCACTTCGTAGAGCTCAGGGAGATCTCAAAGACTGAGAGAAATCTGCACGCAACGTTTAAGTGTTTATGGGGATAACTGGAGCCAATACCCATTAGGTCAGGATGCTGCCTTGCAAAGATAACCAAGGGAAGGTACTGGGAGTGACATGGGAGGCTGGGGATTTTCTGAATCGTACAGAAAGGCTCTAGGAAAGTCCTCCTGTAATCAAACCCCCTTTTGGAGCTGTTGACGTTTCTCGTGGCGTGTTCTGAAATGCGCAGCCCCGTTTTACATCGCTGTGAGGTGCTGATTCCCACTGCAGAGCCTCCCTGCTTCCTCTGAGCAGTTTGGCACCAGTGGCCACGTGGCCCGTGCCCAGCTGCCTCCGATGGGCGCCGTCTGCTTGTTGAGACTTTGTTTTGTTTCATAGATTGTAACCGAGGCTGATGGAATGCGTTCCCATTTGGGCAACTTAGGCTTTTTGTTCTGCTTCTGTTTCTGTTGCTGCTCGTTTCAGTCTATGCCAAATAAACGATGCTTTATTCGATACCTCGGTGTGGTGCGGTGCACTTGCTGGGAACAATGCCTCATCGGATGGAGCCCGGTAAGCTGATCTCTGCCTTCGTGGCAGTCGGTGGGAAGGGCCACAGGCAGGGCTGAGTGCCCTGCTGTCCTGATGGAGCCAGGAGCACCTCGGTGACCTGCAGTTCTGCAGGGGGACATCGCACAAAGAGCCATAGAATCACTCAGAAAAGTGAGTTCTCTGAGCTGAGTTCTCCAAGCCCACCCCCATCCCACCCACCGTGCCCACTGCCCACATCCCTCAGTGCCGCATCTCCACGGCTCTGCAGCGCCTCCAGGGACGGTGACCCCGCCGCTCCCGCGCAGCGTGTGCGAGGACATAAGGAGACGGAAGGAGTGCTGCTGGTAGGAGCCCACCGGGCTGCTCCAGGCTCGGGATCAGCCTCCCCGCTCCCTGCTGCCCGCACGCAGCTCGGAGCCCTCGGGTCTTGGAGGAGAGCGCCGTGCTCGTCCCGGCGGCCCCGGGCGCAGCTCCTCCTCCTCCCCGCCCCGGGGAGGCGCTGACCGCGGCTCCGGGCTCAGGTCGGGGCGCAGCCGCGCCATGGAGCGGTACGAGAAGCTGGGGAAGGTCGGAGAAGGCTCGTACGGCGTCGTCTTCAAGTGCCGCAACAGGGAGACGGGTCAGATCGTGGCCATCAAGAAGTTCCTGGAGTCCGAGGAGGACCCGGTGATCCGGAAAATCGCGCTGCGGGAGATCCGCGTGCTGAAGGTGGGCGGCACCGCGCGGGGGGCGGGCGAGCGTCCGTCCGGTGCGCTGCGGAGAGGGGTTGACGTGGCCGCTGTGCCCATGGAAGGGATGGCCCTGCTCCTAATGGCTTTGACCTGGCCTCTGGCCTCGTGGTTCTGGGGTTCCTTCCCCGGAGCCTTCAGGCACAGCTCCCGCAGCCGGAGGTTGTGTCCGTAGCTTTGTGGCTCGCAGCCCTTTGCTCAGTCTGCCTCTTTCTGCTCTTGTGTTCGTTTGGTCTCCATGGCACCCTGAGCAGCCGTGCCACAGCCATAGGAACGCTCCGTCCCTACGTTTCCCTTCCTCTGCCATAACACAGCGTTGGTAGGGGGGCAGCCACACCGGGGCAGGAGAAGAACAGCTTTACAAACGCCAAAGGAGCCCCTGTAAGGTGTTTTCTTCACAGGAGCCATGCAGTCAGCCTGGGCACACCGCATTCTTGCAGTCCACCAAGGGCGTAAGGTTCTGAAGTTAACAGAACCCCATAGAGCTGCAGAGAATGATGTTCTGATCGGTTCCTTAAGTTGCCCAAGGAGGCTGTGGATGCCCCATCCCTGCAGGCATCCAAGGCCAGGCTGGATGTGGCTCTGGGCAGCCTGGGCTGCTGGTTGGCGACCTGCACACAGCAGGGCTTGGAGCTGGGTGAGCACTGTGCTCCTGTGCAACCCAGGCCATGCTGTGATTCTATGATTCCAGCTCCTTTCTCCATGCTCCCAGCCTGTGGCTGCTTACTGCAATGCTCCCTTCCACGGAGCTGCCCAGCTTTGCTCTCTGGGAAGCAGGTGGCCCTCAGCTCCCCAAAGCAGAGGAGATTTCTGCAGGTCACAGCGTTTCCCAATGCCTCCCATGCTATCCCCTCATCCCTCACTGAACACCTCCATAAGTAACAACACCATGTTACTGTCAGAGGAGCAGAGAGGCCTGATAGCTGTGCTGTTTTAACAAACAGTACATTAAGATTTAAATGGCTTTGCAGATGCGGGCAGGAGAAGCGCAGAAGTCTGTGGTAACATAGATGGTGGAGCAGCATCCTGAGGGCCGCAGGGCCAGCAGCAGCCCAGCAGCGCCGGGTGACGGAGTGCAGAGCTGCTCAGCCTTCTGTCAATAGTAACAGCTTGTTTGTGGCAGCAGCGCCAGGTTCAGCAGCAGCTGTTTGCCAAAGGTGTGCCTGTGTGACGTTGGTCTGACAGAGGACCGTTCCATGCAGTGGGCAGCAGGTGGATCCTGAGGGGTGTGCTGGAAATGTGCAAAACAGAGCTGGTCTGCATGCGGACCCCGCTGGGGGCAGTGGAAAGCCAACACTGCTGCTTCCCAAAGGGGGAATCGCAGCAGGACTTTTTGGGGTGCTCCCCAACTGCGGCTCCTTGCGCATTTCTGCTCCCCGCTCCTTTGCAGGCACTGTCTGATGGAGAGGCCCCTTGGAAGACAGGGTTAGTGTGGCTCCTAGGCAATGCCCTTTGCAGCTCCCTTGCTTAGAAATATGCTTGTTAACCCATCCAAATTCTGGCAACAGCTTGGAGATGCTGAGTCCACGTACTTTCTTTGCGTTTATCGGAGGAGCTCTTTGTTTTCCTCACCGTGTGTTGGTCTGTCACTGTGGGATTCCCCAAGGAGAGCCGCTTTTCATAGCTGCAAAGCCTGGGTACGTGCAGTAACCAACCAACCTGCCTGCTGTGTGTTACAGCAACTGAAACACCCCAACCTGGTGAACCTGCTGGAGGTGTTCAGGAGGAAGAGGAAGCTGCACCTGGTCTTTGAGTACTGCGACCACACCGTTCTCCACAAGCTGGATAAGCACCCGCGGGGGTGAGTGGCCCTTCTCTCATTGGGAGCTTGGAGCAAAGGAGCCAGGGCTGCCATGGGAGCCCACTGCAGCTCTGCAGAGTTCCCAGAAGAATATCATTCATACCAGTACAGATTTCTCATCACGGTGCCCAGGGTTACCTGTTGCTGCCCCTAAGCCCATGTGTGCTCCTGCATGGTGTGGCTCATCAGCAGCAGAGGGGTGGCCAGCAGGAACAGGAGGTGATTGTCCCCCTCTGCTCTGCTTTTGTGAGGCCCCATCTGGAATACTGCGTCCAGGTGTGGAGCCCCCAGTACAGGAAAGGCAGGGAGCTGTTGGAGAGGGTCCAGAGGAGCCACAAAGATGAGCAGGGGGCTGCAGCACCTCCACTACAAAGACAGGCTGAGGGAGCTGGGCTTGTTCAGCATGGAGAAAAGAAGGCTGCGGGGTGAGCTCAGTGCAGCCTGCAGTGCCTAAAGGGAGCCTGCAGACAGGAGGGGAGTCAGCTCTTGGCAAGGGGAGATGGCAGCAGGACAAGGGGAAATGGTTTGGAGTTGAGGGGGGGCAGATGGAGGTTGGATGTCAGGGGGAAGTTGTGTGCTGTGAGAGTGGTGAGGTGCTGGAACAGCTGCCCAGAGAGGCTGTGATGCCCCGTCCATCCCTGGAGGTGTTGAAGGCCAGGTTGGATGGGGCCCTGGGCAGCCTGGGCTGCTGTGAAATGTGGAGGTTGGTGGCTCTGCATGGCACAGGGGGTTGGAGCTTCGTGATCCTTGAGCTCCCTTCCAACCCGGGCCATTCTATGATTCTGTGATCATGCTGAGCAGGGTGCTGAGCATTTGGGTGGTGTGCAGCTGGCTGGGCAGCAGTGGGGCTGAGTGGCTGCAGGAGGCTTTGTGTCCCACTGCTAAGAGGTCAGGGCTGTGGCAGAGCAGCCAGCATGGACACAGCCCATAATGATGGCACTGACCTGCTGTGTAGCAGAGCAGTGGTAGAGCCCAGGAGTGTTTGTTGGCTGGCAGGACTTCCTGAGCTGTGCCTTGCGAAGCTCCCAGGGGTCAGATACCCTCCTCTGCAAACAGCCACGTGCACACATAGTGAGCTACGAGAACAGAAGGAACATTTTCCAGGTTTGTTCCTGTGACAATCCCACCTCCTATGTCCTCCTTAATTCATAGAATCACAGAATGGCCCGGGTTGGAAGGGACCTCAAGGATCACGAAGCTCCAACCCCCCTGTGCCATGCAGGGCCACCAACCTCCACATTTCACAGCAGCCCAGGCTGCCCAGGGCCCCATCCAACCTGGCCTTCAACACCTCCAGGGATGGACGGGGCATCACAGCCTCTCTGGGCAGCTGTTCCAGCACCTCACCACTCTCACAGCACACAACTTCCCCTGACAGCCATACTTGGCTTTTGATCTCTGCTCCTGCAGAAGGTAAAGCCTTTCACGGTCAGGGTTAAGAAGGGAGGGCTCATGCCTCTTCACTCGCTGTTCTGGGTCGTCTCACCAGCTTCATCCCTCTGTCAGCACAGCACTCAGCCTTCTAGGATGTTTCTGCAAGGAAACTCAAGCTTTTCAACAGCTGCATCAGCACAAGACTTTCTGTTTTGACTGCAGAGTGTCTCCTGAAGCCAGCCTCTTGCATTTCATTTTGGCTTATTTTTTTATTGATGATGGATCAAAAGTCTTGCAGCATTAAACTTAGGAAATAAAATTGGTTTTGAGCTTGAAACTGGCTGAGTGGCACCAGGTGCTGTGGCATGCTCTGGGTTGCCATACATCCTGCTCTCTCATTGTGCTGACCACATGGGGAAGTGGTGCTCATGGTCCCTCAGCTCCTCCTGCTGTGCTGGGACAGCAGTCTCCCAGGAGAGCTTTGCCTCCTGCAGCAGGCTCTGCTTTCTCCTGTAATAGTGAATTTGTTTGACCCAAAGAGTAAAAATGTGCTCTCTTGTTACAGGGTGCCGGAGCATCTGGTCAGGAGCATCACCTGGCAGACCCTCCAAGCTGTGAACTTTTGTCACAAACACAACGTAAGTCCCCTGAGCAGCACCAACGAGAGCTGTGATGTGCCTCTGGGTGAGACACAGATCCTGATTCCGTTCTCCTGATGGCAGAGTTTTCTTGGGAAGAAGTCAGATGACATTTCCCTTTTTCAGCAGAAAATGCCCATCTGAAATAGCAGTGTGTGCCCACAACAGTGAGAGCTTTATAAGCACTCCATTGCTTTCTGGAGACTGACACACAGGGGCTCACTCAGAGGTCTGTCCTGCCTCTAGGATTTGACTTTTTCATTCTCTCTTTCTCAGTCTGAAAGATTTAATGGAGTTTTAAAGCTGGTGGACAATTAGATAGCACAGCCTGACCTGCTGTAGATCACAAGTGATGGGGTTTTATGCAGTCACCCTTCTCTGGAACTCTGTGATGCTGGGTTGGCAAGGAGCACTTCAGTCCCTAG